TTACCCTTGGTAGAGTGCAGCGGCATCACAGCTCACAGCAACCTCAAACTCTTGGGCTTAAGTGATCCTCTTGCCTCAGCCTCCCAAGTAGCTGAAACTACAGGCACCTGCCACAACACCTGGCCTTTCTTTTGTTGTAGTTATCATTGTTTGGCAGGCCTGGGCCAGGTTCGATCCTGCCAGCCTCGGTGTATGTGGCTGGCTCCCTGACCACTGAGCTACAGGACCCAAGCTCCTTCCTGTTGTTTATCATATGTTGGGGAAGATTTTATTCAATGTGAAGGACTGGTCTGAATTGTATCTATATCCTAAAATTAATAAAAAAGTTTACAGTTGACTGAGAATGATGTCCCAAAGGAAAGAATTCAAAGAGCTGACATTGAAAGACAAGGCTGATCCTCTACAGTTTCTGGAAAGCAGCAGCCAAAGGAAGATGGTGGAACATTTTGGTGTTAGCAAGACCAGTTAGCAGCATCCAAAAACATAAACATGAGTATTTGTAGAGATAGGGTAAGAAAAGTAGAGACCTACAGTGGAAAAAGGGGAGAACTTCCCTCCATGAAGTCAATGAAGTCACATTAAACTGGTTCAAACAAGTGAGGACATTTAACACCCAGATCCCTGGGGTGATGATCCAAGGAGTTGCTAAAAAAAAAAAATTGCAAAGAAATTCAGGGATTTCCCTGGCAGATTTCCAAGCTTTAGGTGGTTGGCTCCAGAAATTTAAACTGCTACACAAGATCTCCCAGAACATGCTGTGTGGTGAATAATCCAGTGAAGTTCCAGTAGAAATTGTGGAGAGTTCATCAAAAAGTTCCCAGAGATGGAACCAGAAAAAACCCCATATAGCCAAGTCTAGTAGAAAAAAACAATGTAGTAGGGCAGCGGACCCATATACTGAGAGTGGCAGGTTCAAACCTGGCTCGGGCCAAACTGCAACAACAAAAAAATAGCCAAGCATTGTGGTGGGCGCCTGCAGTCCCAGCTACTCAGGAGACTGAAGCAGGAGAATCACCTAAGCCCAAGAGCTGGAGGTTGCTGTGAGCTGTGGACACCACAGCACTCTACCAAGGGCCACAGAGTGAGACTCTGTCTCTAAAAAAAAGGGGGGGAGAAAAAAAAACAATGTAGTAAAAACAATGCCAGAGACATCACCCTATTAGACTTCAGGCTATATTATAAGTCTACAATAATCAAAACAGCATGGTATTGGCACAAAAATAGAGATGTAGATATATGAAGCAGAGTAGGAAACCAAGAGATGAAACCAGTCTCTAGTTGCCATCTGCTCTTTGATAACCCAAACAAAAGCATACAGTGGGGGATTAAAATCCCTGTTCAACAAATGGTACTGGGAGAACTGGATAACTATATGTAAAAGACTGAAACTGGACCCATACCTTTCACCACTTACAAAAATTGAGTCAAGATGGATAAGCAGCTGGGTATGGTGGCTCACGCCTGTAATCCCAGCACTCTAGGAGGCCAAGATGGGTAGATTGCCCTGAGCTCAGGAGTTTGAGACCAGATTGAGCCAGAGTGAGACCCCATCTCTACAAAAACAAAACCGGGCATAGTGGCAGGCACCTATAGTCCCAGCTACTGGGGAGGCTGAGGCAAGAGAATCCCTTAAACCCAAGAGTTTGAGGTTTCTGTGAGCTATGATGCCATGGGACTCTACCAAGGGCCACAAAGTGAGACTCTGTCTCAATAAATTAATAAATTAATTAATTAAAATGTAAAAAATAATAAAAATGGATAAGTGATTTAAATTTAAGACATGAAATGGTAAGAATCTTCGAAGAAAGCATGGGGAAAACTCTTGATGATGTTGGACTGGGGAAAGGTTTTAGTGGCCATCTCAACAACAAAAATAAACAAATGGGACTTAATTAAGCTGAAAAGCTTCTGCACAGCTAAGCACACAAAAAGTGAAGCAAAGAGACAACCTTCAGAATGAGAAAATATTTGCAGGGTATGGATCTGACAAAGGGTTAATAACTAGAATCTACAGGGAGCTCAAACTAATCAAAAAAAGAGCAAACAATCATATCTACTGCTGGGCAAGAGAAATGAACAGAACCTTCCCTGATGAAGAGAGACAAATGACTAACATTTGAAAAAAATGTTCATCATCCCTGATTGTCAGAGAAATGCAAATCAAAACCACCCTGAGATACCACCTAATCTCAGTGAGAATAACCCACATCATAAAGTCTTTTTTTTTTTTTTTTGAGACAGAGCCTCAAGCTGTACCCCTGGGTAGAGTGCCGTGGCAGTACAGCTCACAGCAACCTCCAACTCCTGGGCTCCAGCGAGTCTCT